CACTGTCTAGCTTTCACTTGTGTAGGAGGTGATTGAAAATAGCCTGGCTTGGGTCAGGTCCACCTTAGCCCTCAAAGTGACATCTTTGCTTTGTAACACTTTAAAGAGGTCTTTTGCAATCATACGTAGAGAATAAAAGAAAGAAGACTAGAGAGTAAAATAAGAGCTATGTCATGCAGAAGAGAGACAGAAAAAACATTTTGGAAGAAATATTAAAGAAATAGAAGAAACAGATACAAATTCCATGAGTGCTTTGTGTTATAGATGCTCTTCATCGAATGGTGATTTCAACAGAATAGAACTCAAAGGTGAGATGAAAGCAATGAAAAGGACTATTGCTGCAGTAAGGAAACTAGCTGAGGAGCAAAAAGATACTCCTGTAGGTCAAATAACTGAGTGAGAAACAGAAAGGAACAAATTCAACATATCACAGAATAAAAGCAAACTAAAAACAAGAAACAACAAAACAAATTGCTGATGTGAAGGGCAGGCTCAAGATAAATTTGGTGAGTACAGAGGAAAATTCTGAGGAAATTAAAAAGCATTACAGTCAAACCAGAACATGGGTAAGGTGTAAACCTGTCAGAAAAGGAAAATGCGAATATTTTCTATAAAAACGAGTAAAAGAAAAGTGCTAATACTGTACCTTCTCCAAGGTAGATAAACTTACAAAACCTGGAAAAAGAAGACAAACTTCCACAGGTTTCACGGTAATAAATCAGACTATAGAATAACTGAATCAAGAATCTTAAGTGAAACTGGAAGAAACACTCAACAATAAAGTACTAGAAAATTTGCCTGAAAATTAAGAGCAAAGAAAATTGGAATTTTTAGGTTAAAATGTCAACCTTATTTTCTAGGTAAATTTAATCAGACCAACAAATATTATTATATATTGATATGATATAATAAAAATACAGACCTTTTTTAAATAAGGAAAATATTTTTCTATATCCAAACAGAAAAAGAAAAATCACCTTCAAATAGAGAAATTAAGGTAAGCCATTGTTTTCTCCACAACACTGTGAGAAGACACTGGAGAAATATGAGGGGAAGAAATATGACCCAAATACAGTATAACCAGGCAAGTAAATCATTATTCAAGTGTAGATGTCATGGAGAATCATGCTAAACATGAAAGCACTCAAGGATTACAGCACCCATCATGGGGTGCTGAGAAACATCTAGTCATCTGAGGG